GTAATAAATAAAAATAAATAAATATTTAAAAAAAAAAAAAAAGAAGGAAAGTTTAGAGACAGGTAAGATCTACTGGATCGTAGTCCTGGGTAAGACTCGTGAAGCAGGGCCTGAGAGACTGAGAATGGTCCATAGGGCTCAGGAAAGTGAGAGGGGAAGGACTTGCCAGGTTAAAGGGTAAGCTAGGGAGTAGGCAATGAGAGTGGCAAAGAAAACAAACAGGCCAGGTTTTGTAGAGGGAGACAGAGATGCGCAGACTTCTTCACAGAAGTGAGCAGAAAAACATGTCACTTCCAGGTTGGAGAAGATAGAGAGTTCTCCAAAGATATGGGCAGTGAAGGGGATAGAGGTTTGTCTCAAGGGAACCCAGTCACAGGAGCAGGTCAGAAGTGAAGGCAAGGCCACAAATTTTGAAGTAGACTGCAGGAAAGCTGGTACCACAAACAAAATGAGCAAGTTGGAAGTGGAAGAGACGGTGTTTTTTAAGGGTTAACTGATGAAAAACATACTAGATCAGAGAAACTTGAATTTGAATCTTTAATCTTTAATCCCTTGCCAGCTATTGTGTAGTCTTGGTCAAGTTACTTAAGTACTTTAACCTCAGCTTTGCCATCTGTAAAATGAAAACAATAATGTACAATGCCTGACACCTACGTCTCAAAGCAGTGTAAGAATAGAAGATAGGGCGGGATGCTTACTGTTGGGAGTTGTGGACAACCATGGGCTAGATGTACATGTGAAAGACAGCTGAAGTGTCAAACAGTGGCCCTTTCCTTGATTGGATCATGGGTAGTGTGGCAGCCCCACCCCACCCCCCAATCCCTCCATCTGCTCTGGTCCCTTCCATGTGGCCTCTACAGAGACACTAGCACACACAAGAAGACCTCTGTGTGGATGACCAACTGGGGCATCCATAAGGAATTCGTGAACACTTCATTGAAGGAAGCATTCAAGTTCAGACCAATGGAAAGATTTTTGATAGAAGGAACTGGGAAAGGGGAAAATCCGCAGAATATTCTAGGCCAAATGTAACTTAGTCTTCTGATTCATAGGCAGGAATCATGGTTTGAGAGAAAGGCAAGTCATAAGAACAAGTAGTCCCCCAGCTCCTGATACCAGTTACTGCCAGGTTCCTGGACTGCGCTAGAGTATGTGAGTGGGCTGGCTCTACTCAGCAACACAGTGAAGGGTATTCTCAAGGCAAGATGAAAAATATTGGTGTGCTGTCTTTAAACATGTGAAAGGCCTTTTTCATGGTTGCTTTCCCAGGATGACCCTGCAGGTGAAGGAGTCTTGCCATTGGCCCTCAGCCCACAGCCCTCTACCTTCCACCCTTACTTCACCATGGATTTGCCTGTCTACGTCCTCCAGGTCTGTATACCTTCTAACTCTTGCTTTTCTTATTAAGACTGTTACTGTAGCATGCAGCTTAGTTGCTGAGGGAGACCTGCTGTGAAGCCTTGGTTGGGTTAATCTCTTCCCTCCCATTTGGAAAAGACAATGATATGGTTATAAGTGAAGCTTACAGTTCGTTATCATAGACAAGATGAAATTTAATATACTCCTGAACTATTTTATACTTTTAAAATTCTATTTCCTACTCCTGTGGGAAATAAGCTGACCAGTTTTTACCTTGAGGGAGAAAAGACCCAATGAGTTCAGTAGTTACTTAAATAAACTTAAGTTATGTAAACTAAACTGAGACCTGGTGGCCGTGGATAATTGAAAAGATTTTGATATGAAATGGTAAAAGTAGGTAGTTTATCAAATTTCTAACAGTTTGACTTAAGTATATTTTAAAAATCCATTCACATAGTTTTAGTTTTGTTGTGTTAATATTGAGCTGTTGAACATTTCCTTAATGTTGAAAGGAAATTCCTAAATAAAGTACTTAACAAGAGGCAGAGGGACTGTACTCCTTGACAGCTGGAGGAAGGTAAAGTAGAGGACATTTTGGCAAAATATATCAGAACTACCTATTGTATTCTGTTCTGCAAACCCACTTATGAGACCATTTTTTAAGAAGTTAGATAGTAAACAAAAGATGTTCACCACATTCTGCGATCCAATCATGCCAAAGGAGGAATGATTCTTCCAGGAGGAAGCAGGTTAGATGGCACTAGTGCATCACAGGTGCCTCTCCTGCTCAGCTGTTGATGGTAAACTCAGACACTTGATGCCCAACAGGCTGCTTTCCATATGCCACATGTATAAAGGTTTTCAAAACTAAACAAAGATGATTTCATTTTTCTAAAAAGATACATGGGTGCTTGAATATGTGTGGATATAGGAAAATCTAGAAAAATTTACAGTTATTGAGTTCATTTTTCCTCTTTTAAAAAAAATTTGACATTTTCAAGAAACACAAGTTTAAAATATGGGGAGAATAAGAGTCTTTGCTCCCTCAAAGTAAAAACTGGTCAGCTTATTTCCCATAGCAGTAGGAAATAGAATTTTAAAAATATAAAATAATTTAGGAGTATATTAAATTTCATGTTGTCTTGAATTAAGAAAAGTCAGATGCTATATTACTGTTGGCCCTTCAAGGTTAGTTTCCTTGTAAGAAGCTGCAGGCTGTGTTCTGTGTTCCTGACCACAAAACCTGGTCTCTTCTCTGCCTTCCTCCTCACTGCTCTGCTTGGTTTTGCAGGAGGTGCTTCCAGCGCCTGGAGGTATTGCTGGGCCTGAAGCTGCACAAGTGCCTGGAAGCACTATCAACTTGCGAGACCTGCAGTGACAGCAGCCCCTCCATGTATACATGCAATCAGGGCCACCTTCCAGCTGTGCCCCCTAGATGACTGAGATGATGTTGTACAGGGCATGGGGAGACCCAGGTTGGTTTCTGCTTAGAAGTCCAACCTCATTCTTTTAAAGACTTTTGAGTACATTTATCAAAAATGTTTTCTTCTGTTTTTTTTTAAGGAGCTAGTTGGGGCTGTATTCTTTGAAAATATCTTTATAAGCAAAATGCTTTGATGGGATACATAATACTTTGTCCATGCTCGGCTGGGTGCTTTATAGCCCTTTTCCCAGATCGTGTTGGATCTAAGCTGTGTAGCACACATTGCATTAAAAAGAGAAGAAAAAAACAGACTTGTGCAGAAAATGGGGTTGAGTATAGGTTCCCTGCTGAGGTATGACTTTGTCTGTACAGTCCAAATGCAGTCTTTCAGATCCAGTGTTTTAGTGTTTTACTCAAGAGGGATTTAGAAGTCCCATTTTTCTTTTCTGAAAGCTGATGTGATGGGCCATATCTCAACACTGACTGAATGATTTTCATGGGTGAATCGTTTGTGCCACAATGTGGGCCAAAAATTGTCCTATTGTCACAGTGAAGTCAAATTCTGATCCCAGTTCTAGCAAAGCAGTTAAGACTGGGAAGAAAATGATTGGTGTGTCTTAGTGCCTGACAGTGAGCTTTTTTCATAGAGCAAATGCATAGCTCATAATATGGAGATGGGAAAGTTAAAACTTTTAAAATATTTTTTTTTCTAAATTCTGTATTTGGGCATTCAAGTTAAACAGTAATTTGGCAACAGTTTATAAGGTGATGTTCTGAATACTGTAAGTTATATGTAAGACTCTAATAATGGTACGTTTTCTTTTGGGGTTGTAGATGTGCATATAATAGGTCTTATATTTTTACAGAATAAGGTCTGTCTTGCAAAAGCAGCTAATTGGATTACCTTGCACGTATTTGTTAAAAAAAAAAAAAAAAAAAAAACATGGGATGGCCAAGAAATTTTTTTTCCTTGTGCCTTTTGAAGTATATGCTTGTTCAGATACTGTTCGGTTCTGTGACATGGCGTCATCCAAACTCTTCCCTTTCTGGGTTTGTTTCTCAGACTTTAGTACTTCAGCTTTTGGGAAGGATGCTTAGTTTGAGTGCTAATCCTCTCTGTGTCCTGAAGTGCTGTCTACCTAGGTGCTGCTTCCCCCAAAGGAATTATAGCCCTATTTGAGAATGGTTCCTTTCTATTTGAGAATGGTGCTGTATCTGACCCCCAAGTTGAGGGGCTGAACTTGCTCACAATGTTATCTAGTGCCCTACATCCTCTATGGAGAGAGAGGCATCCTTGTCTCCTCAAGGAGGACCTGCACCCAGGAGTTCATCTATAGGCAAGCTTCTGCCTTTCTCCCAGAGTCCCCAGTGAGTGTCTGCCACCAAATGATTGGGATAGGCTGTCAGTTTCTGAACAACAAGGCTCCCTTCCTGCTGGCAGTGGGCCCAACTCCTAATACAAAAAAATAAAAGTTTTTATATTATCACAAATCAAATGTTTTCACCCTGACCTCATTTGAGAGAATGTGTGTATGTTGTTGAAATCATTTCATCTGGCCAGCTTGGTTCTGGGGGCTTTGGGAGCTGATGGCACATATCTCAGCATAGATTGGCTTTTATTTCCCAGCTATTTCATGTGAGAACCAAGATGCCTCCATTTCTCAGGCATTTGCCTAGGACTAAAGATTAGAGAGGGATGTCGAGAGTTGGAAGCAGTGGCCAATTCCTTTATCAGGCCTTGAAGACATCAAAGAAATTTATTTCCAGAAGTTTAAAGGAGGTACAGAGTCAGCATCCCTTCAGACCCAGCTTGCTTCTACTGCTGACCTCTTCTGAACTTTTAGCCAAGCCAGCTGTGGCCTGGTAAAGGCTAAGTGAAGAAGAACAGCTGCTCCTCCTGTTCTTTGTCCATCAGTGTGTGATCGGAGGTCTCCTTTGCTTTGAGAATTGGAGGGTGGGAGCGACACACCAGTTTTCTGCCTCTCTGCAGAGGAAGTAAGCTTGGTAAACTTGAGTTTTATGCCCCCCTTCCACCAAGAGTGCCATGTAGCTACCATAATTTCCATATGCCCTTTCCCTCAGGCAAGGCCCAGAAAGATCTGGTCCATTCCTGTCAAGCCAGATCAGCTCAGCAGGCCAAAGGTTGGAGTTTTAAATAGCTTGGGGGTGTGGAGTACATGTAGCAATTACTAGGCCAACTATGTGGAATATACCTCTTAGAAGGTGTCACCTGGAAATAGACTGGAGATAACAGGCTAAACTGAGTGAACCACTGCAGGCTGTTTGTAACATTAAAAGCTCTAAAAGATTCACCATTGTGCCCTACAGTGTTCACCTTCCCTTAATGACAGCCCTTTTTTTTTTTTTTTTTTGCCTACCAGCCTGTCTGTTGGGGACCATGCTCAGCTCCAGACTTTCTTTTGCAGTCAGGCTTCCTATTTCAAGGGCCAAAATGCAAGTGGTTGCCCATAGGAAAAATCCTGGGACCAGCAGTAGGAGACTCCAGGCCCCAGGAACATGATAAGCTTGGCCTGAGGGTTTGAGAAGGGGGATAGTGAGGCATTGAGACACTAGGAACTAAGCTGTTGGTACTTGCTTTCCTGACCTGAGTGCCTGTATCTGCCAATCTCTGGCAGAATGTTTGTTCAGGGAGGAGACATGGGACAGGCATAGGGCTGGCAGTTAGGAAGGACATCCTAGAGGATGCAACCCTGAGAGTGGGAGTGCCTGGCAACAGATACTGCTGTACCTTGGCTTTGCTCCAAAAGTAGCTGCCTACTTTCTCAGTGACTGTCTGCAAAGAGGGATTTAGAGGATTAAGCTGCAGAATCTCTAGAATCCCTCCCTAGCAGCATCCCCACTCACCCTGCCTACCTTTTTTTTGATCTGAGCTTGGGCCCGGGCCCGAGCACGCTGTAGTCGCTCCTCCTGCAATAGCCTTTGCAACTGGACTTTCTCTTCCCGAAGCCTGAGTGGCAAAAGATGTCATGTAGGACCTGGGGGCCTGGGAGACAGCATCACAGCCCCTTCCCACTCCTAGCCCCATGAGCCTTTGGGTCAGGCAGGCCATGTTCCACATATGAGCACACTCCCAAGTCTCCTGCTTTTCATGGCATGTAAGGGCCTTGACACCTGGTCTACAGCCAAAACACTGCTTTGGACCTGAGCCCAGAGGAAGGTGACTAGAGCTCTGCCTGGACCTTGGTTTTTCCACCTCAAGACCTAACTCTGGTTTCTAGATTCATGCCCAAGAGATACACTTTCTTAGATTCACATCCAGATCCCTGATTTGTGTGCCCATGGCCTCATGGTCACCCACAGTGGCCCAGTACCCAGCTAGGACAGTGGTCCTGGTTTCTTCCTGCCATCAAAGATTTGTCTGGTTCCTACTCAAAGCTGAGTGCTGGGGACCTAGAAGTGTCCCCCACCATGTTTTTGGGGAGAAACACATTTGCAGAGGCTGTATCTCAGGATCGTGTAGTTACAAGTGAATGACCCCAGTAACACACAAATTAGAGAGGCCATGACCCACATCCCACCTGGATCCTATAGAGTCTTCTCTTACTCATGCCCACTTCTCCCACTAGAGATATAAGCTGGCAGCTGTCACCCCAACACTCTACCCTGAGCTGGGAGTCCTGGGGATTCCTGAGTGCTTGCACCCAGCCCCCACACATGCATTTGCTTCAGTTGCCTGTGTCTCCTTCAGCAATTGATGCTAACTTCAACCCATGCCTCTGCTCCTCTTATCCAGCCCAAAATAACTAAATCCTACCTGGCCTGGCCGTCCCCATGTAAAGCCCTTCTCTGATGTCCCTGTCCTTGGGATCCAAGCTTTGCTGGCTGTACCTTCACAGCCTCCCCTCTTTTAGACCCCATCTTCTCAGTCCTCTAAATCCATGTTACCAATCACAGTCACCTTCTCCAGCTGTTTGATTCCCTCCCTGACTACACTAGATAGAGTTCCATCTCACGGCACGGAACACTTGGGCTTATCTCCCTCGCTCAGGAGCACTGTAGAGCTGTGACCTCAGGTGCCCTGTGCCTCCATGCCAGATGGCGGCAGGAGCAGGAACAGTGGGCAGCAGGGTAGAACAGCTCACCTCATGCGCCTCTCCTTCTCCTTGGCCTTCTCAGCCTGCTCAATCTTAGCTGGGGGTACACGCTCCAGGTTCTCAAGCAGCTCATCCAGTTGGTGCTCAATGATGGTGAGCATCTGCACGGTGCCCAAGTTGGCTTCCTGTTGGATGCCCACGCAGTGCTGGTACACATCTTGTACCTTGTGACTCAGGCTCTCCATCAGCTTGTCCTGCAGAGCAGAGCAGACTTTGATCTATGCCTGCCCTTGCACTGTAACCTGTTGGCACTAGGACCCTCAGCCCACCTCCAGGACAGAGCAACCAGAACAGTTTGGGGACTGGGTTTTACTTAGCCACAGCAGCCCTGTCCTGTCCTCGCTGAGGCCTGTTCCTCACTCAGCTCCTCCCCTTGCAGCCCTGATAAGCCCACCAAGAGCCAGTCTCCCCTCTACCAGGGAGCCCTCCCTGACCCTAGTCCCACAGCATTGTGTCCTGTGTGGCCCAGGCAGATGAACTCCCTCTCTTTGCCTGCTCTGACAATAAAAAAAATAGTTAATGTCTCCTACAACAGAGGTTGTAGATGAGGAGTGAAAATGCACAGGCCAGTCTCAGGGCAGAGTCTGTGCCCTTTGAGGCCTAGCTGGGACAGGGATGTTCCTTATTCCTCAAAGCCACTTCCCATGCCCCTGGCCCAGTTTCACAGTTGGCAGTATCACAGAGAATGAGGAACTGAATGAATTAGTCATTTAATTATCAGTATGGACATATGCTGAGCCCCTGGTCAGACCCCAGTTCCTGCTGCCCAGAATATCACTTAACTTGTTCCCTCAGAATTCTCTCGAGACTGAGAATGGTGATGCATACCTGTAATCCCAGCACTTGGGAGGCTGAAAACAGGAGAATCACTGTGAGTCTGATCTATGTAGTGAGACCCTATATACCCTGTAGGCCTTGTACTAAATATATTAAAAATAAATAAAAAATAAAAAAAGAATTCCCTCACACTTCCAGCCTGGCACGAGGACACACCTCTTCCTCTACCCCAGGTTTGCCTTGAAGGACACTATGTTGAAAAGCACACAAGATGGGCATGCTAGCACATGCTTGTAATTGTAGCATGCTGGGATGCTAAGGCAGGAGAATAGCAAGTTCAAACCTAACCTGAGCAACTTAATGATTTAGTGTCACCCTTTCACAAAATTTTTAAAAACGATAAAAGGCTATAGATGTACTTTAATGTGAGGGCCTGGGGCTTTTATCCTCAGTACAGAAACAGAGATATGGCAGGATGGGGTGAGGGGATTTGTGGAGTTAACACCAAGCAGGCATGTGGGACAGCTGAGCTGGCATAGTGTGAGTAGGCAGGGAGGACTGCTCCTGCGGGAACTTTGTAGCCAGACTCAGAGCCTACAAGGTAGGCCAGTGCAGACATTTGCCCCTCTCTGTCCTGGATCAGTGATCGTACCCATTGATGCCTACCTGCTGATCACCCTTGTACTCCCCAAAGTGGAAGACCCGAGATTTGAGCTCCAGTTCAGCAGCAGTCTCTTCCTCCTTGGTAATAGACATCATCAGGGTGGTGATCCACTGCTTCAGCTGGTTGACCTCCCTGTCCCTGATTGGGGGTGAGGTCCAGAAGATGGTCATTCAGTGTAGCCCAGAGTGTTTGCCGTCTTTGAGCCTGGCCCACCATCTACATGCCTTGTCCTGACAGCTACAGGATTATAAGTGCCAAAGTGTCTACATGCCAGGGAGTCAGATGCTGGCAGAATTCAGGGAATGAAACTTAAGATCTTTTAACAGTCAACATTGAGAAAAATAAAAATAAGAGTTTCATTAAGGTGTGATTCATATACAATAAACATGCCATAAACATATACAAGGGACTAGTTTTTAGTATATTTACATTCACATGACCATCATCATCATCATCATCATCTAATTTGGAACATTTTTATCACTCTAGAATGAAATCCTGTGCCAAATAACAGTCACCACATCCCATTGTTCCCTTTGGCTTTAGGTAACCACTAATCTTTGTCTTTATCCTGAGCATTCCATATAAACAAAACATGTGGCCATTGGTGGCTGTTTTCACATAGTATAATGCTTTCAAAGTGTATCCATGTTGTAGCATATGTCAGAACTTAGAACCTTCTGTGTCAGAACTTCTTATGGCTGAACAATATTCTACTGTATGGATAGAATGCACTTTGTTGATCCATGTCTCCACTGGTGGATCTTTGCATTGCTTTTGCCTTTTGACTCTGAGGAGCAGTGATTCTGTGAACAGTCATGTGTAGGTTTTGTGAAATAATGTTTTTAACTTTCTAAAGTATATATTTAAGAATAGAATAGCATGCTAATTTTTTTTTAATTTTTAAAAAAGTCATTTATTTATTTATTTACTATAGGGTCTCACTATGCAGCTCAGACTCATAGTGATCCTCCTGTCTCAGCCTCTCCAGTGCTGAGATTTCAGGCATGTGCCACCACACCCAGTTTCAGTGACTAGTTTGGGGCAGGGCTGGCACAGCATACATTTCCAAGGCTGAAACCCAGGTACGTGCACTTGCCAGGCAGGCGCTTAGACCGCCAAGCTATCTCCCCAGTCCTAAATCTTCACAATCATTATGGTACAGACATTGACCAGCATATGTTGGGGTTTCCTGAATGGGACTTCTCTCTTTAAATTTTCATTTATTTATTTATGTGTGTATATATGAATGTATTTATTTTTTTATTTTTGAGATAGGGACTCACTGTGCAGTTCAGGCTCCCCTTGAGCTCACTTTGTAGCCCATGCTAGTCTCGAACTCATAAGGACCCTCCTGCCTCAGCCTTCTGAGTGGTGAGATTACAGGAGTGCACCCACAGACCCGGCAGGGACTTCTGCTCTAATGTCCACCAGGGCCCAAGCAGTGTTAGCAACTCATAGAAATCCTTATCAGCGTGAGGGCATAGACAGCCTGTACTCCCCAGCAGTGTCTGGAAAGCACTGACCTCCCATTTCAAAAGACTGAATTGCTGAAAGGGTTTTTTAAAAGATAACTATACACAGTCTACAGGAGACTTTAGATTTAAAGACATATAGGCTGAAGTAAAGGGTTAGAAAAAGATAGCCTATGCAAATCTTAACCGAAAGACAGCAGAGATTGCTATATTCATTTAAAACAAAATAAACCTTAAGTTAAAAACTCAGAGAAAGAAGATCCAAGTAAGATCAGGAATTGCAGAGGAGACATTTCAACTGATGCCACTGAAATAGGATCATAAGGAACTTACTAGATAGCCCAGAAGAAATGGACAGATTCCTAGAAACAGACCATCTATCCAGATTGAATCAGGAAGACAGGGTGTCCAAAGAGATCAATATCAAGGAGACTCCATTGGTTAAAACAAGAAAGTCCAGTGGATGGCTGCCACTGCAGGCTGTCTGCATGGCAGGCACACCAAGAGCCCAGTATCACCTGCCTCCTGCTGTTGCCCCCTAGAGCATGCCGCACCTAGTACTTTAACTCCAACCAATGCAATTTACAAGATGGGGATAAAGCTTTTGTCTGCGTAACACATGACAGAAGCCAGTTGAGAGGCAAGGGCAGTAGTAAAAGTTATATAATGAGCTAATTGCAAAATGGAGAACCAGCTATATTATATACATCACTCCTAAATCAACCGCCTTGCCTGCAAGTTGATTTAGGAGTGATGTATATAGGTGAATGATGGCGAACTGTGGACCAGTGGGTGCCTTCTCGCTGATGAAGGATCCAGGTTTTTGGCCAGATGATGTACACTTGATCTTAATCACCTAGTCACAAGATATTTTTGAATTCTGCCAACCTCAGGAAAGCCAGTGAATATTTCTGGCATTATGTCCTCAGGCTATCCCTATTACTGATTTAGTATGCCTACCCCACAGTTCCTGGCATTACACAATAGAGTAGAGCAGGCAGCTGTCCAAATAAGAAAGACAAGGGCCAGTAAAACAATGATGTGAGACACTTTAAGGAGAGAGATCTGAAGTATTTGGCTTCAGTACCCCGTTGTGAGATGTCCATTCTGCAGCACTGTGGGATTTAGGTCAAATCTAGACACTTCTGCTTAGGACATCAAAAAGAAAACTGGAAAGGAACCACCTGACCTTATGGAAAAATCCTCTTCTTAGATTTGCTGTTGATAGGTAGCTGCTTGGTGATAGACTTTCCTGCTAAAAAGCATAAAAGATTCTTATGGAAAGTTAACAGACATCAGAACTTCTACCCTTCTTTGGGGTACCTGAGCATGCTGTGCTCACATGTACCTGTATAAATACCACAAGCTTAGTCATGTTCTCAGTCCACCAGCTTCATTTCACATCCGCACACTTATATATCATTAACGGAGAGCACAGCGTTCATGGCAGTCAAAAAGGCAGTGCACAAAGGGGAATGGAAAGTAAATACAAGCTTCGTTTCATGTGACACATTCAGCTAGTATGGTTTATGTTCAAAGCAAACTCACTTAGGCCAGGCAGCGTGGCTCATGTCTACAGTCCCAGCACTCTGGGAACCTGAGCAGGAAGATCACAAGTTTGAGCCCACCTGGACAATTTAGCAGTTTAGCCAGGCCCTGTCTCAAGTTTTAAAAAATGAAAAACTTTATAATGTAGTTCAATGCAAAAGCCCTGGGTTCAATCCCAGTAACCACACACAAACACATACATACTTAAGATATTTCAACAAATGTGGATGTACAGTGAATGTAAGAGGCTCATAATTCCTGCCATTATGTAACAACTAACTCACTATCTGCATTCCTCATCCAGATTTAGAATCCATGCCTAAGCCAAAGTCTCCAGCAAAACCACTGCCTTGAATGCCGATTCCCAACAGATTGTGGCACCACAATGAGAACCATTCTCTCATTTTCAGAACCAAAGGCCTCATTTAGCTCCTTCTGCATGTTGCCTTAACTTCGGTTATTAGCTGAGAGCCTACACGCCAATCATCCGCAGTGCTCTGCAGCACTGCCTGGGCCACACCCGACATCACTGGATTAATGCTGAAGGCTCCCAAGCTCCTCCCTCTAGCCTCATACATCCCTGCTTGTTTTCCAAGCCAGCCAGCCCCATTCCCCACCTACTGTGACCATATCTATCCTCATTCCCAAAACTGCCTGGGTTAGCACAAAATTTTCTACTTTCTGTGCATCCTGATTCTTTTAAATGATCAAGTTTTGTATCCTTCCCACAAGAGTCTGGGTAACTTTGGTCATCTGCCAGTAAACCAAGGTAAAAGCCCTGAATGGTTTGAAAAATACCCTTTCAGCATACTGACAGGGCTGCCACAATTCATCAGTAGTCAATGCCTAATAACAAACTTTTTTGTTTTTTGTTTTTTCCAGTACTGGGAATTGAATTCAGGTGAACCCAGGGCCTTTACACTAAGCTACATCCCCAAGACCTTTTCTAAATTTTTTTCTTTTTGAGATAGGATCTCAGTAAATGACTAAATTTCACTGTCTGGATTCAGTCTTACACTCCTGCCTCAGCCTCCCGGAGTACTAGGATATCGTGCATGCATCACCATCCCTAGCTAACAAACATCTTTCTGCCTCCTAATGGTTCTCCTGGGTTTTCTGCCTATTCGTTTCCTTTCTGCTGCTTATCACTCATTCATATTCCTCCACCTCCTCTTCCAGTTGCTGCAAAACCTCCACAAAGAATGACTGGGGTAGGGGGCCCCTTAGCTGCCCCTTTAGAAGAACCCTGAGGAGCCTCAGCTGACACTGGACCCTCAGGGTAAACCTGCTAACTTTTTGTTGATACAGAGACTTCTTGCTCAGTTTTAAAAAACCTCAAGGGACACCCTTTCTCAACACAAATGCTACATCCTGAAGGTTTCTGGGAAAGTAAATGAGAGTCCTTTTATTAAACCTTTAAAATGTAGACAACCCTAATTTTCCTTTATGTACCCATGTGACTAATCCTTCCAAGGAATGATTTCTTACATAACTTAGGGGTAATCCTAACTTTGATGTTTCCCACATGGAGATATGTATCTGCTCTTCAAACCTTCAATTAATAATACTACTGAAGGAAAATAAGCCTAAAACCTTGACCCCAAAGGTCTTGATACGGGGGTAAAGGCAGGTGGGCAGAGGAAATCAAGCCAAGCTTGAATTAAGCCCAGTCACCCCTGCCCAAATCGATGACAGTATCCTCTTAGATAAAACATACTGAGAGAAATAACCCAGGTAGTAATCAGGGTCCTACAGAAAGGGCTGCTAGGGACCTGTGACTCTCGGGTATGATCCTACCATCCCAGAGATGAATGAATGGAGATAAATACACACAGCAAGGAAGCTGAGGCAGGAAGATTGTAAATTTAAAGGCATGCTGGGTAACTTAGACACTATCTCAAAGAATTAAAAAGGCCTGGGGGTATGGCTTGGTATGAGAGTGCCTCTGATTCAATACATGTTAATGACAAATCAAAACAAAGTGAAACAAAAAACAGTGGGAAGTAGGGTAGTGCTGAACCATCAAGCAGTAAACAAGACTACAGATGGCATCCACCCAGCAGTGTCTAGCCTTACACCCTCTCGGCACCAGAGCATCACATAGGCTGTGGCACA